TAATATAAACGTAACAACGCTTATCTTAAACTCGACAAAACATTGATAATAAAGTCGAGAGCTAGCTATATAACTGTGAAAATGTTTAAGAAAACTCGGAACAAATGCACAATTTTCCTAAGTACGGCATCGGATGCGGGAAAATGCGTTTACGTACTTACATTTGCTTTCCTTTTTAAAGTTATGACGAGATTTCTGTTACCAACAGCGGAAAATCTCTTTTCTTGACATTTTATTTCTGTTAGAAAATGAAGATTTGTTTTTCAAACACAATCATTCTTTACTCTATTGAAAAAATGCAATAAATATCTAACAACAATCATTATTGAACTTGAATAATTACAAAACTATTCATCTATACTAATATATAAAGCTGAAGAGTTTGTTTGTTTGTTTGAACACGCTAATCTCAAGAACTACTTTTTCGAATTGAAAAGTTATTTTTGTGTTGGTTAGAGAATTTATCGAGACTATAAAACATCGCGCTGTGACTAATCAGAGCGAAGAAACAGCGGATAATGTGGAAAAGACAGGGAAAATTATTCATCTCTGTTGGTTTCCGATGGGTACGCTGCGAAAACGGTTCGAGATACCCAAAAAATTCATAACAAAAAATTCTTTCTCTTTAGATGATCTATAAAAATTACCGCGATACTACATATCTATCTTTTAAGATTAACTGGCAAGAACGATGGGACGCGACCGACGTCGCAACGATGCCCAAAGTAATCCTACGCAGACGAAGTCGCTGACACAAGGAAAATATTTCATAAATATTGCCTGCTTATTATGGGCATAATACATTTTTTTTAAATTGAAAAAAATTGAAAAAAATTTTTCAACTCGGGCAGGGCAAAAAATTTTTTTTTCAATTTATTTTCGATTTTTAAATTATATAGTGCCTTCATGTGCAATAACATGTGAAAAATATTAATGTTTTCAAACGGCATAATACATATTAACTAAAACACTTTGAACGGTTTAAAAGGCGATTTTATCAGATAATTTATTATTCACTCGCCATTTTAGATGTTGTGCGATGGTCATGTGTTATGCATATATTATAAATATATTTTTTTAAGATAGAGAAAGGTAACGTGAGAAGACCGATAAGTTTTTATTGATGCAATAAAATAGCCCAGCTACATAATATCGACACAAGATGTACTGTCGACTTTTTTGGCTTTGGATGTGTAATATGAACGCTATATCCTTTAAGTCCTTATATTAAACGTATTTACGTTAAACGAAATTCACTAATGGAAATCCGGAAGTTTTTTTTGACGAAATGTAATAAATGAAAACACTTTATTTAGACTTTCAGGTTATTAAAGGCAAACAGTTATCAGAAAGAGTACTCAGAGCGATGGACAGATATGAATTATTCCGAAATGAATTATTGATTGAATATAGATGCAACGAGGAGACTCATCTATTTTAGTGACGTGTAATTGATTTGATGCTGGCATAACATACATTTTAACGAAATACTTTGAAAATAGGATTATCAACCGACTAGAAAATGTTTAATAGAACAGCTATAACCAAGCTAAATACTGTCTGTAGTTTACGCGAGGAGTACAAATTTAAATAAAAAAACTCTTTTAAGGGTTTAAAACGCGAAGTTTACACTGTTTTATCAAGTTACGCAAAATACCGATAACTTCGCAACAGATGGCACTAGCGTAGCAGTTTTTACGTTGACTAACTAAGGGCGCCCTGTATGTTTAATGCCCCCGTGACCGCGGATGGTGCAAAGCGTTTTAAACCGTTAAAACTGTTAAGTTTCGCTTAGTTATGTGTCATCACAACAGGCCCATTATTTTTTTAGATTTATCGTTTAGGAAATCATTTTGTTTAAATTAGGCTTTTAATGATAGGACATGGGGCTTACTCGATAAATGGTAAAATACCCTAGCCATGTAAAATATAAATAAGATTCTATATATAGAGTATCATAGTTTTCACAGACAGAAAGGGCAGGTTATTGATTACAGTCACAAAATTAGAAACGAACATGGTATTGAGATAAGTATGTCAAGACAGCAAGTATGTATTAAGACATAACTAAAAATTAATTACATACTTATTTATTAATAATATGTAGGTAATAAAGTTACTTTGTAATTGATTTTAGTGATTATACTTAATTATTTCTTAAATTAAACTGTAACGGTTTAAAATGCAGAATAGTACCTGCCATATTATGTGGACTGTAATTACATCAATAATGTATTTATTTATTTATTTATTTATTTGGTTTCCATACAACATATATGTGTTTTACATACTTATAAATAATGCAGAACAATAATTTTTACATATACGTCAATTACACAGAAACACATTGCAAATACGGTTAAATAGGCACACAATTAAAACTATAATTCTAATTAATATATAACTATAATACTAATCACTACTAAAATAACAAACATAAAGATGTGAAATGAACAAACTAGAGACAGAACGTGAACTAAGACTTACCTAATGCCTGTCGCACTAGAACACGAAATCTGTACAGGCTGTTGTGAAATATGTCTATATCTATATCATTTTTAGATATTGTATTGTATGATCTAACCATTCTATTAATCGGGGAATTGGCAGAAGTCGCAAGGCGGGGCGTTGGAGAGTAAAAGAGGCAATTGTTTCTAGTAACCTTGAGCGCGCAGTGAAAAGAAAAATTTGAAAGTAGCTCAGTATGAGTTATGTAATTTAATATTTTGTACATGAATATCAAATCAATGTATTTTCTACGCCTTTCAAGAGAATCCAAATTGAAATATTTTAGACGACTGTCATACGTGCGAAGAGAATTTCGCAGACGATAACGATTACATAACATTCTCAAGAAGCGTTTCTGGGTAGATTCAACTGCATCAATATGTACTTTATAAAAAGGTGACCAAACTACACTGTTATATTCGAGAATACTACGGGCCAAAGATTTGTATAAGACTATCACAATATATAAGAACGTACAATAATGTACGTTCTTCTTTTAAAATTCAAACGCAAAACATCTTCAACGCGTTACAACATTGTATTGCCGTGTCAGCACAAACAAATGTCCGCCGTATTATTTTCATTGTTATCTAATTATTTATATGAAATACATCTTTCCATAGAAACTCTATCACAACCATTGATCACGGCAGTTAAGTAATCACTCATATCCTCGCCTTGTTATTGTTTGTACAACATAATTGGGCCCAAATTACATACCTTAGCGTGGGACCTAGTGAAACTGCTACAATTATTCGTTTCGTGTTATTAGAAATGATACACAATAGTGTTGTATCTTGCCAGGAACTGAGCTTTACTCTAGTTATCTCTGGTTAGGATATTAAACACAGTGACAAGATATTCTGATATTCAACCGAGGAGGTTGGGGAACCGAGGAGGAATTCGATTCTTAGCCGTTTACATTTATATTAATATATAAAGCTGAAAAGTTGTTCGTTTGAATGCACTAATCTCAGGAGCTTGAATTGAAAAAATATTTTCGTGTTAGCCAGAGCATGTATGGGGAAGGCTTTAAAGCATTACGCTGTGACTTGTCCGCGAGGCTAAAAAGGGAAATTTAAAAAAAAATGGGAAACATTATTTATCATTGTGGATCTCCGATGCGTACGCTGCAAAAACCAAAAAAATTGTATTAAAGAAACGTGGGCAAACTTATGTTTACAAAGATGAAGAGGAGGTTTGCAAAACAAATATTGCCCAAATAACGATTATACCCGGACAAAGTCGCTGACTCAACTAGTCTGGCATGTGATAACATCATAAATATGTAAAATCTCGTAAACGTACGGAATGTAAAAATTAAATAACGTCATCAACAAAGAACTTAAACATAATTAAAGAATTTAAACATAGGTCTATATTATAGGAAAGAAAGTATCAACTTAGAAGTTAGGTACCTTTGTCAAATAGAATTCCTTGAAATAATAATCATTTAAAACATTTTGAACTGTTTAAAACGCGAGATTTACACTTTTTTTTAATTTATTTTAACGACGGTCCCCCGTGCTGCAAAGCGTCCAATACTTCGGGCCGTAGAACAAATAAATTGTAAATAAATTAACTAAAATATATCGCGTTTAAACCGTTAAAAGTGTTTTATTTAAATGTGTAGTACTCGTGTAAGCTACGGACAGTATATAATTATTCATGTCGAGTAGTTAGGAACCTGGAAATGACGATATTACGACCCAGTTAGTACTTTTACTGTGAATAATATGGGGGTGACAAGCATGTCGTTAACTTGATTAAATATAAAATGCCCTAGGCATATAACATCTAAACAAGATGCATTTTGCATTACTTTTGCATGAGATTTAAAAATCCAAAACGAAAACATGCTTTTTCATCTGTAAATTATAGTTTGTGTTGGAATTTGATTTTTCTAACAACATGACATTTTTTAAACGAGGAAATTTTGTTTTTTTTTTTAAGTAAATGATTTATATTTCAGATTAATGGGATCTGGCGGGAATCGAACCTAGGAGCCGTTGACAACAACAACTTAAAAAACGACTAGCATAGAATTGGAGAGAGTTAAAATCAAATATTAACATTGTGTATTTTTAATACTATGGAATGTATTTAAGCATAATTTTGCTTTAATCAAAATGAAAACCTTTGCTTTTGTTTATTATACACCTACCCACTTCATAAGTCTTTTTGTACTTCATTTCTCCTGTAGTTCATGTTGCCTGGAAGAGATCGCTACTTAGCGATAAAGCTGTCTTTTATTTACAAGTTAGTAGTTAAGTTTATTTCTCTTTTTTATGTTTTATATATTTTTTTTGTAATAAAGATATAAGAACTGATTATCATTATCTGTATAAAATAATTGTTAATGTGATAAAATACAATATTCGATTGTGGCTCTATCGTACACGAATATGACAATTTACATCCACTCCTTACCGGTCAATTTAACAACCTGTCTTAATATAAAAAAGTTTGTAAATATAGTTTGCATTAGTTACCTCTTGCGCCAGAGCTCACTTGGCACTGATACTTCGCATCGTCTTCCAACGTCACGTCTCGAATATCCAAGGAATAGTCTCCTGTAAAGAACAAAAGGGTATTAGGAACCACGTCATATACCCCGTGACAACCGAAAATCATAGCTCAACCACACGTCGCGTCAAAGCGTTGAGCTAAGACGTCCTGGCTTAAATACGGAAAAGATACACCAGCTTAAAATTTAAGCTGAAGAGTTTTTTTAACGTGCAAATATCAGGAACTACTGGTTCGTATTGAGAAATGGTTTTTGTGATGGTTGGAGCATTTATCGGGGAAGGCTTTATTAAGGCTATAAAACATTTAGCTACGACCAAATAGGAGGGATGAAGCAATGGAATATGTGGCAAAAATGGGGAAAATTTATCTTATTTGAGGTGTTCGTAGCGTGAGCTGCAAAAATAGTTGAAGATACCGAAAACATCTAAAAAGTCTTTGAAAGCTTGTATTTCTAAATTAATGCCAAATAAAGAGATTTATTATTATTAACATTAACTCACAAGAGACGTTTATGTAATAAAATTTAGTCCAAATACTTCATATACCTATTCGGCCGTCATTTTTAAGAACGTTTAATGAGATCAATTACGATAATATTAATGAATCAATAATAATAACTATTATTATTATCAATTACGACTGCCGAAGAATTCGAAATAAATGTGAAAGGTAATGTCTCGTGCCCATGCCCCACCGTGGGGATTGGGTTTCAATTTTCACCTTGTGAAAAGGGTCGTTTGACTCATCAACGTTTCATAAAAATTACCAGTACAACAAGTCTCCGTTACCAGCAGGTGTAGTTTATCGTGTAAAATGCAAATTTCTAGCACGTTGAATCTAGGTCATAATTATACCTATAATACCAGCGCTAAGTTTTCTCCAGGGACCTACTTAGTGCTTAGACTAATATTACTTGAATATAAACCATGCTGGTATTTCTAATAGAATTATTCTTGTTATAATATCGTAAACATTAAACTGGAGGTTTGTTTATCATCGTTTACTTGTTTGAAATACCGCCCTACCCCCATATGGAAACTCCGCAGAAAGGCAACAGGTTTATGTGATCGACATAATAATAATAATAATAATAATAAACTCTTTATTGCACAAACATAGACATAAGAACATGGATACATAGAATTACATATACAAAATATATGTAATTCTATGTATCCATGTTCATGACATAGTTTAAAGGCAAGTAATTGGTCTGAATTTTGTGTCTCGCCAGACCGAAACGTTTTATTCCTAAGAACTCGAAACAATGCTAGGTGTGAATATGTGTTATTTTAAATACGGAAGTTATGTATGCTTTGTAGCAGTCGTGGTAACGGAGAGACTGTGTAATAAGTAAATAAGTATATTTCGCACTGTAACCCGTTAAAAGTGTTTTGTTTAAATGTGTATTCCTCGCGTAAACTACGCAGCACTTACAAATTTGTATTTTTTATGTATTTAGTTATACAATATTTATAATTCTTTTTATATTATGTTGTAAAATTAGTCATTGTTGTATATGGTGTTGTTTAGTTATAAACGTAGGTATTTTTATTATATATACATGACGAATCGATCGATAATTATGATCTACGTACCTTCTTCATCGCTTCCGATCATTTTATATCGGTCATAACCACTAAGATCTCTGTGAAGACCTAACCCGAAGTCATCCTTCGTCCATTGCAGTTGACCTGCTTTATTCTCGACCCGACATGGCAGGGTCACTCTTGACCCAATGACTGCAGTCTGTGGAACAAATGGATATTAGTAACATAAATATACGTACGTTACTAAAAATTTAAACTCAAAAGCGATAGAAAGAAATATCAGTTCAGATATTCGTAAATATCTTAAATGAAGGCCAAGTATTATGATATACCAGCTGTGGAATAGTTATTTTAAGCGTCAAATTTGTTTTTGCAAACCGAAGAGGTTCATATTACTAAAATGTAACCTGTTCCCATGTCTTTTCCGTTATTCATGCAAGTTAATCTTAAAAGATTCTTTTCATTCATTCGTATCTTTTAGATATCTTAAACCGTCGAAACGTCTTGAAACGTCGAGCCGAAGTTAAAAATCATTTTCAAATAAGTTTAACTAATATATCGCGTTTTAAACCGTTAAAGTGTTTTATTTAAATGTGTACTACTCGCGTAAACTATAGACAGTATACAATTAAACTTTTTTATCTGCGGACCGTGGTTCGTGACTTGTACGCATTTTCAAGTACCAACAAGTGTCGAAAAATTATAAATTGAAAAATTAGAACCACGTTGGATCCGATGTCAACGAGCGCACGACCCGTTTATTAGCATAGTTACATTGCTACCATTAAACGAATAAGCCCTTATTTATTTATTTATTAAACATTTCTTTTATTTTCAGTCTTATATTATATAATTTATTCAAAAGTTTCAGTCGGCAAAGAAGTCAAATCAACTGCCTGTATATAGATATCGAACAGACAAAATGCCCCACATTTGAAAAATGAGGATTTAGCCTACAAAAGTTAACCAGTAGTTAACTTTCACATTCAAAGGTTTCACCGATTATTGAACGGTAATTCTAGTATAACAGCTTCCTGATATTAACATTCGTAATTATCTATTTATCTCGGTTTTATCATTTTATTTCTACGTAGCTAGTGCCAGCTTGAATCTCGAGTAAATTAATAAAATGTAGGATTAACAGCTTCGATAAAACTCTTTTGATCGGATGTTAAACTTGTAGATAACAACGTGGGAAATATAAGGCAGCTGTTTAACCAGTTTATCTCGTGTCTAGTATTGCTCTGAAGTGCGTGTCACAAGCTTTTACTATTTTATGTATACTGTAATTTAAATGTATATAAAACACTTTAACGGTTTAAAACACGATATACATTAGCTAAAATTATTTGGAAATACTTTTCACTATGGCCTTACGTTTCGGAGTGTAAGAAGTGGGCCGAATATATCGCGTTCTAAACCGTTAAAGTGTTTTGTTTAAACGTTTTCCACTCGTGTAAACTACATATAGTATTGTACATTTAAAGTTAACAAAATGCGTGTTTTGACACCACTAGCGCCATCTAGCGTAACTGGCGTGAACTTTGTACTAAGAATCGCTAGGATCTATAATGTTCTGGATAATCGGGAGCCGCCATAATATGATATATATAGCAGACGCAGCAAGACCTAAATCATATGCGTGCATGCCGTAATTAGCATATACAAGTCGACGTTGACGTTGTTTTATGTGTATGAAGCTCTGACAAGATTTTTGTATGAGACCTAAATTATTAAGTACGATAGCTTTCTCCCTAAGGTGCAGATATGGGCTGACATAATAGAAAAAAAAGTATTTCTAATTAATTTTATCTGGCTGTACGCATAGACATTTCGGCACATTTTGAAATTTAACGCGGCTTGATAAAACGTAATCGGTTTGTTTTATTGAAAACTAGTTTAGTTAGTAGTTTATACATAGAAAGATTTTTTTATGGTACTGGAGGATAGACAAGCATTGGGTAAGAGATCAAACTGACCCGTTGATTATTATAGCTACCATTTCACCAAGGAGACAGTCAACGTTATAATTTTACGAGACGTCTCCGAGAAATCTATTACAAAATATTCAGCGCGGCGAGTCTCGCGGAGTTAGGCCAATTAACAAATTAAATGCGAACGATGGAATATCTAGACCGAATTTATTAAGTTGGTCACGTTTATTTGTAAACTCCATTAAATCCAACGTTGCCGTTGCCAAGTTCGCCCTGGATATAAAGGATTATCTACTCATTATTTTATCTTACAGCGAGTTCACTAAGAATGGAGTACTTTAAGATATTCAAGAATTAAATTAACATTAAACTTATAGAGATAAGAAATAAAAATATTAGACATCAACCTGTGAAAAATTATTAAATTGAACAATGATAGAACATTCTGAAAATCCAAAGCCATACTAGTCGATAGCGCTTCTTGTTTAGATGTTATATGCCTGGGGTATTACCCACAATCAAGTGAAACCCACAAGCAGGAGCAGGTATGTCCTTTTCTATCATAAAAAATATATATCACTTTATAATAAAAATGTCTAAACAAATATTTTGTTAGATTAACAATCAGCGTTATGAAAGATAAAGAGGGAAATCCCATTTTCCTCGGTGGCGAACAAACAATTAGTTCCTCAGATTTCAAACCCTCACGTAACGCAACATGTTGGTCACAATATGGTATTATAGCATTTTTTACTTATCCCCTAAGAGTTTTGTTTAACCGAGATGTCTCGGGTACGATACAATCTATACTAATACTATAAGGCTGAAGTGGTTGTTTTGTTTGTTTTATTTAACGCGCATATATTTAAAACTACCGGTTTGAATTGAACAATTCTTTATGAGCCTTATATTACAATACAAACAGTAAAAAATTTGAAAAGAAAAACTGATAATAATTATTTTTGAGAGCTTCCGTTGCGTATTCTGCAAAAACAACTCAAGTATGACAGAATGATTTTATTTTAAATCATCTAGAAAAATTTCTGGTACACTATATGTCTATCATTGAAGATTATCTCGCGAATGGCGTCGTGGGTAATAGCTATATTTTATAAAGCTAATGAGGCAGTTTCCAAAAAATATTATGATGCCCAAAATAACTATGTATTTGACACGGTCGAAGTCGCGGGCACATCTAGTTATAAATACTTTGTAAACAATAATTAAAATCTGTCTACCTGATCTTGCGGCTCCATAGCGAACTTCTGCTCCACGAACCCCCCTACCCCACTAACCACCATCAAAGTCCGTAACAACAGAAACAGGGGCACACTCGTCACTTGAAATCGTCTATAACACGACATTTTCATATCCTCGAAGAATCTATTTACATCTTGGAGGGACGTCCGGTTCCCTACGTCTTCCTCGTTCTAAACGGCGCCATGTCTATTTTTAGTCTGTGGTCTCTGAAACAATAAAATGCTTAATTGAAAACAGTTGAAAGCTTTCTAGATACAAAATGCTTTTAAACTACTTTTATGTGATCCAAATGTGGATTCTTCGTTAAAAGTTTGGCTAGAAATAACGAAATATTTAAGATCATAAAGATAGTGTATAGTATCCATTTTCAAAGATATCGTTTGTTATTCAAATCTAATGCTATTTAATGGTTTAACAACAGTTAAGAGGTTTTTAATTCTTCGAGCAATCGAGGAGCTAACATCTCCTGATGATGCCGTCCGCTCGTGATGGCGAAACGTCGAGAACTTCTTCTCGCTCACGTCGGCTGAACAGCACAAATAAAATGATATGCTAAGCGATGGCCTTACACAATTTATAAATACAGAATAATTTAATGTAAGCTACAAATAAGCATAGAAAAACAATCGATGTTTAAATTTCATAACTATTTTCTGAAATATTCTATCGATATTAAAGCTTATATCTTATATAATATTATGAATGGAAAAATATAATAGTTAATATTATGAATAATACGGTCCTATGTCCTCATTCTGCGACAGTCTGAGAATTAATCTAGATTAATAGTTAATAAAATACAAAAAAAACATTCTGTATCTAAGAAAGCATGAATTTACTTTTTTATTCGTTTTTAATTCAAACAGAAGTAGGCACATAATATGTGAAGCAAAATCGCCGGAAGACGTTTAAATTGTCAAGAGCAACCTTTCAAACATGTAACCACTGTTATATCCCGGAAATGATGTAACATAACCAGTAGTAGACGTCTATAAGTAGATGTTCTAGTCTAAGAGTTGAACAGGTAAACGCCATAGATACAACATTTCACATACAATTATAAAAGACGATGTTTAAGAACATGGGGTGCTATATTATTACATTTGTTCATTTAAATTAAACATTTATCGATGTAAAACGCGATATATAATAGCTGAACTTATTTCAATTATTTTAACTACGTCCGACGTTTCGGGTGCTCTACAACAGCCGCGGTCACTGAGGGGCTAAAAATTATAATTAAAATAACTTTTAACTAAGTTTAACTGATATATATCGCGTTTTAAACCGTATAAGTGTTTTATTTAAATGTGTACTACTCGCGTAAACTACAGACAGTATATTTTTCTTATTTGGGGCGCCGATAGAAGTCTTTGTCATTCTTTCTTGCGGAGGCTTTAAAAGTTATCAAGAACAAAATGCAGGAACGATGCTTTCATGAACATTGTTTTAATTCCTGAAACGTGGCTTGATATAAAGATTAATATAAGGCGCTTCAATAAAAATATTAATCAGAGGAATATAGCAATCTTCCTTAGACCTTAACTTTTCCAGCGTTAGCCGTGTTGTGATCTAAGAAATTCCAATTTATGCTTTAATTAACTTCCACTTTGAACGGATTGCTCTTTGAATAGAAGTGCAATTTTCTGAAAGGAAATGAATTGTATTAAGAGGAATTAAAAAGGCACTTAACGTTTCGCTTCGGAAGGTATATCATATAATGTACAGGGTGTGTTGGTTGGGAATAATTCGATTTTGTTTCCGTATAAAGTAATAAATCTAGTATCAAAGCGCAAAACTATTTTGTGGGTTTGTCTGTATTAACTTATTATGTCTGTTTTATATTAACATTATAAAGTAAGGATAAGTTTTCACCACGAAGTTATATCACTAATTATGTTTGTACTACTTAAACATATTTTACTCAAAGTAAAATAGCCCTATAATTTAATAACGATATTAAGAATAAATGAACGACTTGACTATAGTTTATATTCTTAAGTTTTTTTTTAATAAATAATATAATGTATAAGCCTCTAATACATTATTCGATAATTACATACATTTTTTTTGATATTGTTTTTGGTACTATTAAAATATATAACACGCCATAAATACTAAGCGCATATTATGTTCGCATCGCAAAAGGCCCAACCTTTTTCCACTCTGCCGTCTCCCTTGTTTTTCTCCACCAAGTTTTTGTAATAATCTCTACCGATCACGATTTTATTAATCCCTTTACATTTAAGTTAAAAATAACATAATTTATAATATTAACATTTTTATCTTTCGGCTCTTAAACTACGTCTCATATTCTCATTCCCAGCGTGATATTTCTTACGGTCTCTCATTACGGTTATCTGGGATTGATTAGTTCACATATAAGCTGTATATGGATCGCGTTTTCTATTATCTTTGGAGCTTTATATATCAATTCGCAAGACGTTTGCGCGAACGTTTTATTTGCGGTATATTTGGATTTTATTTTGTTTCTTTATATTCTATCTTCAATATCTCTTTGCTCAATGTATAATCAACGGGTCGTGATTTCAAACCTCACCAAGTCGAAATGGGCATACAGTTAATTTTTTTTACACGTTAGGCTACTTACTTCCACAGAATTAAAAAATTGCGAAGCGTAAATGTACATGTCAGTAAGTCTTTAGATTTTTGAATGATAGGTGAAAAATAGGTCAATAGCGTATTTCATCTTCCATCAAGTGAACCATGTGTCTCAGTCCTCCCCTGCCACAAATATATATTTAAAAAATTGTAATGGAATAGAGCAAATTATTAACTATTATACACCCCTAGAAGTAGTTCTTTCATTTCATTTTTAACTTTCGTTATTTAATGATTTTAATATCGATAAATTGTATATTCTTGTTCTGATTTTTAATTTGATTTACATCCTGTTTTAGTTATAATAAACTCACAATTTCAAAGTTCGACGACCTTAATTCTTTTCTCTAAGTAATTAAGAAAAAAAAACTATGTTTAGGAATTATTGATCTAATAATAATATAGGGTGTATGTCGGTGTTATTAAAAAAACTAGCGACAAAGCAAAACAGTACTCATTCTACTATCATCGTATTTAGATAAATAAATTACTATGTTTTTAACTTTAATTGAAAACTTTTCCATCGACTTGTTATAATTAAAAACCACGGTCGATGGAAAAAAAAGATAATTTTTAATCTATCGGCACCTTAGATACTCTATCTTTAATTATACGACCAATTAATTGTTTATCAAGTGTTTGGCTGGATTCATACATCCGATTTCGTAGATTAAATAGATCAGAACTTGTTAAACAAGTTTAAATAATTTGGACGGCGCGCTATTGATCGGATTACTTGAAAATTTATAAAGTTTAATAGTTTAAAACGGCAAATATATTAATTAACTAGCTGTGTCAGCAATTTCGTCCGCGTAGAATAGTTGTTTTGGGCATCTAAATTTGGTATTGCAAACGTCCTTTTCATCTTTGTAAATTTAAGCTGCACATATCGGTCGCGTCCCGTCGCTCGCGATCCGTCGTTCGGGTCGATTTTGCAAGTTAATCAGCGGGAATTTTTTTTTGATCATTTAAAAAGGAATCATTATTTATCTCGTATAATTATTTTTGGGTACCTTTCCGTTTAAAATTTTTCCCCCGATTTTTTCTACGCTGCTTCTTCGGTCCTTTTATCACAGCGCGATGTTTTAGCATATAGCTTTCCTCGATAAATGTTCTAACTAACACAAAAATAATTTTTCAATACGAAACAGTAGTTCTTGATATTAGCGCGTTCAAACAAACGAACTCTTAAAATGTTGCCTATCAAGTTATACGTCTGATTATTGACCAGGGAAGACAAAATAAGAGTATACGTATAATGAGTATAGAGACATACGCGTGTCTTATAATCACAAGTTAAATTTATTTTAAAACAAAATAGTAAACTTCATAGCAAAAATAATACACAAGTTCTTAAAGAAACAATTTTCATAGAGTTTTAAGAGGTAGTTCAATAAAACTTCACAAAAGTCGGCTTAAAATTACTCCTAATCTTAGCCTAAGCTAGATCGTTGTTCTTAGTGATTTCATTCTTTCGTATCAGAGTAATAAATATGTAAAAGCCTTTTAAATGCGCAAAGATGTTTAAACAATATAATTGAGATGCCAAAACGAAGTAAACGGTTCTAAGGCTAAGATTTTTTTAAAATACATTTTTATATATACGAATTAAGACGAAACAGGCAGCGTTGCAAATTTTGCTATGATATAGGGACTCCCTCCTTTTTTATCCCCTCACTCAGGTTAATATACAGCTACAAAGAAAACTCCCATCGAAATCGCGGTGTTCCAAGCAGTTACATAAACAGCACAAAGGTTATATTGAGGCCCCGGGACAATATACGAATTTATCACAAAAAAGCCCTCCGTAACCACGACTGCTGTAAAGCATCCAAACGTCGTTACAAATAAATATACTAATACACTTGGGCTAGGAAACAGTTAAAAGCGTTTTATTTAAATGTTCAGACGAAGTTGATTAAATCAAGTGAAATGGAATAGAGATTCAAATGAACTTACCACGTCAAAATCACTTAGCCACAACTGAAACTGCTGGCCCGTCGCGTGCCACTGATGTTTCCGCGCGTTTCAGACTATTGTATTTATTTATAACCACCCTCGTTCGGAACTTAATGTGACTTAAAAATAACTAGAGAGCCCTTTCTTAGTATAATTGTAGTTCCATTAGATAGACATACCGAGTCTAAAGTTAAGACTAGATACAATAAACAAAATAGACCTAACTGATATCAGCGTACAATAGTTTTAAATATTGGATTATAACAAAGTTGCGAGTAATCTTTACTTAATAAAAATTAATTAAATTAAAATAGTAAACAGAAGTTAATAATAAGTGAGTGAATGTCCGTTTGTTCCATTGAACAAGGTACGGATACATTTTTGTGACTGTTTCATTGATCGAATTAATTTAATTTAACTACTGTTTCATCGACAATCCTTTCAAATTAATATACGTGGTGTCTATATAGTGCCAATAAATTTCTAGAATTATTTTTCAGTTGCCGGTCAAATTGATATTAAT